GAGCTAAAGGGCATGGTGTTCTTTTGGGGGTGGTAATTGTGTTCTAAAATTGACCATGGTGATCGTTACACAACTCTGTACATATACTAAAATACATTGAATTGTACACTTTTTTTTCCCTCACCCGAAGACATTTTTCCATTTTTTGTTCAGGTAGAGTGGGGGGGGGGGGGGCGAGAGAGAGAGAGAGAGAGAGAGAGAAACATCGACGTGAAAGGGACACATAGAGTGACTGCCACCCACACCACCAACCAGGGCCGGGGACAAACTGCAACCGAGGTACGCGTCTTTAGCGGCAACCGAACCTGGGTCTCTCTGGACCACAGGCCGATGCTCTAACCACTGAGCCAAACTGGCCAGGGCAAATTGTACACTTTAAGTGAGTAAATTGTATATGTAAATTACAACAAAATAAAGCTATTACCAGAAAAGAAACCCAAACTAAGATTGCTACACTTAATTGCCTTCAATTAAAAAATGTTTGCATCCTGCCTGGCCGGTGTGGCTCAGTGGTTGAGCATCGACCCATGCACCAACAGGTCGCCCATTTAATTCCGGTCAGGGCACATGCCCAGGTTGTAGGCCCAACCCCCAGTGAGGCGCATGCAGGAGGCAGGCAATCGATGTTCCCTCTCATCGATGTTTCTCTCTCTCTCCCCTTCTCCCTTCCTCTCTTTCTAGAATCAATAAAGAAAAAAAATTTTAATGTCTACATCCTTATTGCCCTCTTCACATCAGCCCCACTGGAGAAAACAGGACGAGGCCTCTAAAAGAACGATTTTTCCCCAGAGGACCAGAGCTCAAACAAGGGTGACCAATTGGCCTGGTCTGCCCAGGGCTGTCCCAGTGTTAGCACCGAAAGTCCTGTGCTCCACGCAACCCCTCCTTCCTGGGAGAACAAGGTGGTGCTCAGCTCGTGCCAAGCCCTTCCCACAGCACAGGGACACTCTGCCCTTAGGGCTGCCAGCGGCAGGGACAGTCACCAGATAAACAGTCCTTCCCCCTTTTGCATCCGAATCATCCTTAAGCTCCTCCTAACAGTCAAAAGGTATTTTAATTGTTGTTGTTCCCACTTTACAGATGAGGAAACTGAGGTTCAGAGAGATGAAGTAACTTGCCAAAAGTACACAGGAGCCAGGAATTGAACCTGGATCTTTTCCCCAAACCCAAGGTACCTCTTCTACTCATCATATTATCTCTCATCCTCGCACTGGGTCAGTTGTCCAGGAACACCCGTACCCTGTTTGTGCCCCCTGGGGAAGGTGGTCAGACATCCTGACGGAAGCAGCCTGAGTTTTCAGCTAGGGGAGGACAAGGAGGCAGGTGCAGCTTGGTGGTTCACAGCACAGACCTGCGAGTCAGAATGCTCAAGTTTGAATATGGACTCTGCCACTACTTAGCTGGGACCTTGGACAAGTGACTGAACTGTCCTGTGACTCAGTTTCCCCATATGCAAAATGGGAAAAATAATAGTACACTGTGTGTGTATCTGTGTGTGTGTGTGTGTGTGAGAGAGAGAGAGAGAGAGAGAGACAGGATTGTAATGGGAAGTAAATAAATCACTTAAGTGTGTAAGAGGCTTAGATGGAGGCTGACAAGTAGCGCGTTTATTGAATAAATGAAAGAAAGCAGTTTGATACAGCCAGAATCGGAAACAAATGTGATTAGTCCTAAGCAAAACCAGGCAGTGGGACCAAAGCGTGGCAATAACTCTAACATTCTGTTCTGCTTCTTCCCCCGAAAAAGCTTCTGGTGGAGGAATTGCTGGAAGCTCCCCAGACCACAGGCACACCTTTAACAGCAACACGGAGTGGCGATCCGGGCAGCCCTGCCCACGTGGGAGGCCATGGTGCAGGCAGGAGGCCTGCCTGGCAGACGCGCCTGGGAAGCCCTCATACCTTACCTGCCCACGAGGGCAAGAGAGCTGGTGGCCTCCCACTGGGGCAGCACCTGCCACCCAGCTCTGCTCCTGGGAGCAGGTGTGAGCAACATCATTTCACAGATTTGGAAACAGGCTCAGAGAAGTTCAAGAGTTTGTTTCAAGTCCAGTGTGGAACATGTCGAGTTGAAATTCGAACTGAGGTTGAATTCTAAAGTCCCTCCGCTTTATTGCCTCCATGTGTCATCAGTGGGAGTGGAGTTCTTGGGGTGAGGAAAGGAATTTCCTGAGGCCCCTCTGGGAGGGTGGGGCTTTGTGGAAAGCTTTACTGATGATGTAAGGTTAAGGGAGTTCCCCTCCAAAGGCCCATCTCTGTCCGTCTCACGCTGGAAAAAGCCCAATCTTGTCTTCAGCAGGGCCGGAAGAGAGGCCACTGCCCAGAATTCCTGCTCTGTATTAAAGTCCAGTCCAGCCCAGCATCAGGCTAGCTCAGCTCGTGTTCCAGCGACAGTCCACTGAGTGTGGGGTCTGCAGGGCCACGGGCCACGCTGCTGCCTACGGGCACGTGGCTGTGAAGAGAGAACAGGTGAGCGCGTGGCGAGTGGGGGTCACGGAGCAAGAGCAAGGGAACTCTTCGGGCGTTTTAACCACGAACTTCTTCAAAATAACCAGCCAACCTTCCAAGATTTCACGTGCTTCCCTGCACTCGCACCCAGCTCCCTTGTTCAGTCCCCACCCCCGCCCGTGGGATCTGCAGGGAACGGCCGGGTGGTTCTTTGAGGAGCTACCGCTTCTTGGTGAAGTTGCCCAGGTGACCATGCTTTTAATGTCCGGCCTTCCCCTCTGCTCTCTTTCTATTATGAATATTAATAAAGTAGCTAGTTAGGAGGATAACACATGTAGGTTGGTTATTATTGTCGAATTACTTCAAGCCTCAGTAGCTTCAAACAACAAACATTTACAATCATAGAGCTTTGAAGGCCAGATATCCAGGAGCAGCTCCGCTGGGTGTTTACGACTCAGATCCCTCACGAGGTTATCGTCAAGATGTTGGCCAAGGCTACTGTCACCTCAAAGCTCTCTCAGCGCTGGAGAATCTGCTGCTGAGCCCGGGAATGAGGGCATCAGCAGGTGTTAGTTTCTCGCCGGCCGTTGACTGGAGGCTTCGGTTTTGACACACGGGTCTCTGCAGAGGACTGCATACGCACAGCAGCTCGCTTTCCCGAAAGCAAGCGATTCAAGAAAATGAGAGGAGCCGAACAAGAGAGCACTGAGGAGCTGCGGTCTGAACAACCAGTCTTAGTGACATGCCAATGCTGCTGCCGTTTGCGCTCAGTCACACACCAATCCTGGTGCAATGTGGAGAGGACTATACAAGAGTGTGCATGTCAGGAGGCAAGGATCATTGGGGGCCATCCTGAAGGCTGGTGACCACACTGCTCCCCTTTCTAAAGACAGACAAGCAGGCACAGTCCTGCAAACAATAAGGCAATATCCCCACAAGAAAGTCACAGAGATTAATCTGAGTCTAACCACTCTCCGGGTGTTGTTGTGTATTTAACAAACATTCGTTTCATTTAAGGCACTAGGCTGGCCCCTAGGGATACAGGCAGGAGTTACACCTAGAGCTTACAGTGGCTTATGGCAGAAAATAAGAATCAAGCCATGTGGATCCTTGAAGAGAAGAGGGAGAGGCCAAGGGAGGTGGACTCAGGGCTTCATGTCAATGTGGTTCGAAAATCTTCTAGTCCCAGTATGGATTGGTTCAGCCTTAGACAACCTGGGTTTATTTTCCTGTTTTCTCCCAGAGAAAACAGGAGAGAGAGAGGAGAGAGAGAGAGAGAGAGGAGAGAGAGAGAGAGAGAGAGGAGAGAGAGAGAGAGAGAAGGAGGGCGAGGAGTAGGAGGCAGAGGAACAAATGTCCTTAGCTTACCAATTTCTGGAAATTCACAATTAGATATTCTTTCTTTAGCATGAAATTGTCAGAATCTGTTTTGGGCCCAAGTTTTCTACAGAAATGGGGGGTGGAAAAAGGGTGAGCCAACCAGATACGAAAAGCAGATAAGGGAAATGCCAGAGGCTGTGGGTTTGGGGTGCAAGGAGACAGGTGGTTCCTTAAAACCAAGTTCCACGTCTCTACAGCTTGTCTGTTTTGAGGCAGGGCCTCTGAGCCCTGGGCAAATCAGATCCCTGTACTGCCCACTCAGAACCGCTTGCCACATTCATTATAACTACCTTGTTGAATAAACGAATACAATTATTTCCAGGAACACCCCCCCACACCCCGCAGAGGCATGATAGGAACCTAGTAGGTAGTATTTTTTTAATTATTTTCAGTTCCAGTTTACACCCAGTACTATTCTGTATTTGTTTCAGATGTACAGCAAAGTGGTAGAGAATCATGCACTTGACAGAGTGGTACCGCTGATGCTTCAGGTGCCCCCTGGCTCCACAGTCATCACGGAATTGGTGACTATATTCCCCGGCTGCAGTCTACACCTGTGACTGCTCTGTAGCCCCCGGTTTGCACCGCTCAATCCCGTCACCTCTTTCCACTGGATTCCCTCCAGCCCCTCTCCCACATGCTTCTTCCCGCTCTTCAGAACAGGGTCCCCCTAGGACCCCAGGAAACTCAATGAAAACCCGTAAGCGACTCAGTGTCCCCATCTGGATGAGGCAAACGATACCAGCTCCTATCTGCCCGTCCCAGAAGGAAACTGTACACGTGAAAGCCATTCTACATTCTGCGAGAGGGGGTGAGGGGTGGATTCCAAGAATTCCGATGCGGACGGCCGCGTTTTAACTCCCAGCAGCCAGGTGCCGGTCGCTCGTGCGCAGCCACGTGCCCAAGGCGCCGTCCTCACATCAGCCAGCCCGCCCGGTTGGGAAAACAGAGTCCCCCTGAGCTGGTACGGAAACAAGCCAGGTCCTCTCCGACCCCGAAAACCACCCCGGCTGAACTGCCGCTCGTCGCGCCCTACTGCGCTCCTCCCCATGCCGCAGTGCCCCCACCCGCGCAGGTTCCGCCACCTTCGAGGACTACAGCCCCCGGCATGCCCCGCGGCGGCCGTCGCGATCACGTGACCGCGCTCGCCCAGTGAGGCGGTCACATGACGCGGAGAAAATGGCTGCGCTGACCGCGGAGAACTTTGCAGCGCTCCAGAGCCTGCTGAAGGTAAATTGGAGGGGTGGGGACAGCGTGAGGCGCCCGTTGTCCCTAGGGTTTTAGACAGACTAGGCACTGGGAGTAAAGGGACCTTGATTTGGAGCCACGGCTCTGCCAGGTACCTCTCTGTGGCCAAGGGCAAATGGTTGTGCCTTTCTGAGCTGTTTAAAAGAAGGAATAAAGTGAATTCTGCCCCGACATGGTGCGGGAACAAATAAGATAATGGCTGGGAAGGCGCTGTACACATGCCTCCTACATTGGTAGTCTCGGGGCTGGCCTTGCTCGTTGGGGCATTGGGGTGGTGACTGTCGGGTCGCGTGGCCAGCTCAGTCTGTTTTCTGGGGTTTTCTGTTCTCGCTTTGACCTGTGTAAGGGCCCCAAAATTCTCCTGAGAGTCGTTTGAAAGGTTGAACGGGACGACTTCACAGGGCTTTGCAAGGATCAAACGAAATGATGGATCGGAATCATTTGCTTAACTTCTGACGTCCCCTATGGGAAGGGGCGGCCTTATCTTCCTTGGTAGCTCTGGTCACTGGCCCACATTATGCATCTATTGTCTGTCTTACTTTCTCACAAGAATGCAAGATCCATGAAGACTTGAAAAAAAAAACACAAAAAACACCGGACGAAGATGATTGAGTTGTTATACTCAGCAGTTGTGTGCTGCGCATGCCCATCATTCATCATTGATTCAAATGGTCCCTCTGTTGTTTTAACCACCTCCCCAGTGATCTCTCTTATTCTCCGACCCTAAAGGCATCTATTTTATTCACACATGATCTCCAACAAGTGCACCCCCAACACCTGGCACACAGTGTGTGCTTAATAAATAGCTAGTGGGTGACTTGATGGGAGAAGTAATCAAGCCGGTACTGGAAGCTCTCAGCTCACCCTCATTGTAGCTGCTCCCACTCTTCCCCCACATGCCTGTTATAGAGGTATGGACTTTCAAGACCAGCCTCTACTCATGCCTTAGGGTGATGGAACTTGTTACTGCCTGGCAGGGAGCTCCCTTCTTAGTCCCAGATTCCTACTTGGCTTTTCTGACACCACGGCAGCAGGGACACCTGGTACAGTCTCACAAGGGTAGAAGTCTAGGCTCCCCACTTGGCCTTTGCTGACGTGGGTGAGGGTGGGGCCACAGTTCTTTATGGGGTATTTGGCTGGAATAGAGCAGTAGTTGTCTAAGGTTTTCTGTTTTTCTAGGCCACCCCTTTCTTGTTTCTTTGGCTAGAGAGAGCAGGAATTTGTTGGAGCTTTTTTCTTCCTGCACCCATTGGCATTCTCGGTTGCCCTCTTTTTCAGCTCAAAATCTAGGATATAGGAACAAAAACAAAACCCAGGGAACTCACCACCATGTCATTCCTTGGTCATGAGGTCCACAGCAGATGTGTCTTCTCTTGTCCCCTTTTCAGAGTCATCCTAGGTTTGTTTTCTATATAGTGCCCAGGGATGTCAGTTATGCTTCATGGAAAGATTAAGGAAAAGTACTTCTAATCCATCTTTGGAGATATGAAAGAGCCTGGTACACCTTTAAAGCATGAGTCTCAAAGGTCTCACACCATTACATAGTATAGAGACAACATTATGTTGTAGAACATGTATTTTCAATGACTGTTTATTTGTGTTCCATCTGTGAATTAATTTGTAGGCCTCCTCGAAAGATGTTGTCAGACAGCTGTGCCAAGAGAGCTTTTCCAGTTCAGCCCTTGGCTCGAAAAAACTCTTGGATATCATCTGTTCCAGCTTGTCTGTGACCCAGGAGGAGGCCGAGCAAGTAAGTGTGATCAGAAATGACCTTTGACCACTGGACTGTCAACTCACTAGTCTCTTTTTTGACCTCCCAGTCATTGTTGTGTCCAAGGAAATTTTTCCCCTAAATGTCTGTTGCCTTAAAATAGATTGTGTTATTTTTTTAATCCTCACCCGACGCTATTTTTCCACTTACCTTCAGATAGAGTGGGAGGGAGAGAGAGAGAGAAAGACATCGACGTGAGAGAGACACATCAATTGGTTGATTCCCACATGATCCCAATCAAGGCCAGGGACCGAACCACAACCCAGGTACGTGCCCTTGGCCAGAATCGAATATGCATTGCTCTTTGGGCTGACGCTCTAATCGCTGAGCCAAACTGGCCAAAGCTAAAATAGATTTTTTTTTTTTTTTTTTTTATCCTCACCCGAGGACATTTTTCCATTTTTTGTTCAGGTAGAGTGGTGGGGAGAGAGAGGAACAGAGAGAGAGAGAAACATCAACGTGAAAGGGACACATCGAGTGGCTGCCGTCCGCACAACCGACCAGGGCCGGGGACAAACTGCAACCGAGGTACGTGCCCTTAGCGGGAACCGAACCCGGGTCTCTCCAGACCGCAGGCCGACGCTCTAACCGCTGAGCCAAACCGGCCAGGGCAGATTTTTTTTTTAATGTTAGTAAATTTAAAACCTTTGTTTTGAACCTTTATTTCCTTGTTGTAAATGAGGCATGGATGGGAGAACTTACCTAGAATCAGAGCTCCTGGCCATTTTCTTTTCAGACTTGTTACCTAGACAGTGTTGCCAAAAGCAACCTTTTTAATATTTCCTTTCCCAGTGTGTAACTTGCCGATGCTTATGAATTGTCAGTTGGCTAGCTTAGGCAGACTGTTCGGGATCACGGGGCTGAAGCTGCAAGGCCTTGCGCTGCTGGAGAGGATGTGTGGCTGGACCTCACCTGGTCCCAGCTGATGGCCACGAGGAAGGGTACAGTGAGTCCTGCTGTGGAGCACTCACGGCCTTATTTCTCCAGGGCAAATAGTTTTTCTTTTTTTAAATATGTTTTTATTGATTTTTCAGAGAGAGAGAGGAAGGGAGCAAGAGATAGAAACATCGATGTGAGAGAGAAACATTGATTGGCTGCCTCCTACCCCCAGAGATTGAACCCACAACGTGGGAATCAGACCGGGACCTTTCAGTCCATGGGAGGATGCTCAGTTCACTGAGTCACACTGGCCGGGCGCAAATAGTTTTCTAACAGGAGTTCATCCAAACTGGCCTGTTGTTATTATTTTTAATCTGGAGCTTTGTTCATTGAAGTTAGCTGTAGAAGAGTAAAAGACAGAAGAAGGATTATGGAATTGAGTTGGAGACTTAGTTTGGGTTCCCCAAAAGCAGACCCTGAGGCAAAGATTTGGGTGCAGGTAGTTACTTGGGAGGTGATTCTAGAGAGCACAAAGGAGAGAGGGGGGAAATCAAACAGAAGAGAGAAATTGAAGAAAGGATGTATGTTAATGAGTGGTTACTGCTGTGGGCAACTGGGGCTCAATCTTAGGAGCGTGGTGTAAGAAACCGTGGGGAACACACCCTGCTTTGACCCCTGGAGGGAGAGAGGTTAGGACATTTATCTACTAACTCCCAGTCCTCGCTGGTGAAGGCTTGCTGTCCCCTCCCCTCGGGGTTGTGCCTGTCTGCAGCCGAGCAGCCTTCCACGGTGTCAGAGAAACTAAAGCAGAGAACACTGCTTTGCAGAGCCTCCGTAGGTTCTGCTCAGCATTGTTCCATCCAGAAAACGACCAAAGGCACACTTGGCTGCAGACTCACTGGGAAGATCACGGTGGAACACAGTGTCTCGGCACTCCTCTTCCCCTGGGCCGTCCACACAGCCAGCCTGGAGCTCGGGCTCTCTTTGTCCTCCCACGTGACAGCCTCGGGGCCAGGGCATGACCCTCCCTCCCTAGATTCAGTGCCCAACCCGCACAGGAGCCGGTCTGTCTGGTGGCAGTTCAGTAAGCACAGCTGCAGGTTCTGACTGTGGGCCCCGGGTCCATGCCGTCCTCCCAGTCCAGAGGCAGTGGACCAATGCACTGTTGCCTGGTAACGCAGCCGACTTGTCACTCCTCAGGTTACCAGGGGAACAGGCTAGAACTGCGATTTTCGACCTTTTTCATTTCATGGGGCACATAAACTAATTCCTAAACCAGAAATAACCCCCCCAAGGTATAATTTTTATTCAGTAACACCAGACAGCTATTGTTGTGTTGGCTGCTGTCATTTTTTTACTTGACAGTCTGAGGGAAAGAGGTCAGTGCCCTGACTGCATCGTCAGGTGTTGCGTGTGTTAGAAATTCTTGCGGCGCGCCGGCTGAGCGTCGTGAGCCGAGCGTCAGGCTCTGCGCAGTAGGCCAGAGAACTGACCAGCTCTGCCCGCGAGCAGGGCTTCTGGCACAGTGACAACTGCCTGGGTCTGGTGTTGCCTCTGCCATCAAGGCAGCAGGTGACCTCGGGGACAGGCCGAGACACAGAGGCCTCGGAACTCCGACTGTGTCGAATGACTGTCGCAGTGTGTGGCAGGTGGGGATGGAGCCCTGGCCCGTGTCCTGGCTCGCTTCTCCTCACTGCCCGGTCCCGATCTCCCGCAGCTGCTCCAGGCTCTGCACCGCCTCACCAGGCTGGCGGCGTTCCGGGACCTGTCCTCCGCCGAGGCCATTCTGGCTCTCTTTCCTGCCAGTTTCCACCAGAACCTCAAAAACCTGCTGACCAAGATCATCCTAGAACACATGTAAGTGCTCCTTTTTTGAGAGTTCCTGGTAAGGCTTATATTTTTTAATTCCTGTTCTAGAAATAATATGTTCATTCTTGAAAAGTAAACACAGGTAAACAAAACAAAAACCAAAGGAAATCCATAATCCCGCCCCCCAGAGGGTAAGCAGCATTAATTCCTCAGCGGAGAGCCTTTCAGGACGTGTTGATTTTTCCCCTTCAGGCTGCAGAGAGAGGTGGGCGTTTCTGTTTTTAACACAGTGGGATGGTGCCACTTTATGACGTGCTTGTTTGCAGTTAACAGTATTAACGTTAACGGTATTTCAGGTCAACAAATATTTACCTCTCTGATAGTCATAACAAATAATGCCTATTTGCAAAGGATTTGGTTGTTAAGAAATGTCTTCATACATGACCACATGTTATTCTGACTCTGTGTGGTGTGTCATTGTGACGCTGTTCACTAGCATTACATAGGCCTGTTGGGGTGTGTTTGCATAAGAGGCGATGCACTGTGTAGTAGATGCTCAATACAAAGAGTGGGTGGGCCTTTTCTCTGCTTGTCTGGCACAGTCAGATGACAATGCAGTAAGCTTTTCCTTTCCTGGTAAGTTGTGAAAACCAGCACATGTGGCCTTAAAGTCACTGAGCTTCACAAACAGCTGCTGAACGAAGTTGTTTCTCTGGTCTGGGTGACTATGGGTTTGGGAATCAGGGTCAGAGGCCCCGGGTCCACCGGCCTCTCGTTATCGGGAGACTCCATTTTCGTACTTTGCCATCATGTTTACCTCATCTTTCCCTCTTAAACAGATCCACTTGGAGAGCGGAAGCCCAAGCAAATCTGAGTGAGTACCAAGCAGTCTGCCTGTTCCTCCTACCTTCCTTCCCAGCCCAGCTCAACCTGCCAGGGGGCCGGAGTTTTTAACCAAAAATCAAAGTGAATTAACCTAATCCCAAACTGAACAGTGTGTGTGGTTTTCCTTTTTAATCCCAGTTTTCTGATTATAAACAATATAATACAAGCATGTTAAAAAAAGAACAAATTTCCAAAGCAGTGAAATACTTAAAATAACATTTCCATTAAAAAAAACTGTAATTTTATGAAATTATTTTGAAAGATTGGCTATTTAATAAATGATCATGATACTTAACTCTGAGCCAGTCACTATGCTGAAGAACTCTGCCTGTATTAACTCATTAGTGTTCCCAACAACCCTAGGAGCTAGGCTAAGATTATCTCCATTTTACAGATGAGAAAACGGAGGCTCAGAAGTTACACAGGTGGTAGAACCCATGTTTAAGCCAAGACTGTTTGTCTTTCAAACAGAAGCTCTTTCCAGTGTTGTTGGTGCTACACATTTCCTAAGACTCCGGCCACAACCTCATCTTCTCTGCCTGTGTCATTTCTCATTCTGTCCTGACATCTGGAGGGTGGGTGTTCAGGCAGAAGCCTGGAGATGCTGCAGGTGGCAGGGAGCAGTGGACCCTCAGGGACTTGCTGTGTGGTCACGTGGACAGCCCTCAGGGCTGCCTGGCACAGAGTGTAGGCTCAGCAAATGCGAGGGCGTGGCTCTGAGCTGGGCTGTCCCCTCCGCAGTCTCTCTGCCACGCCTGGTCGACCTGGACTGGAGAGTGGACATCAAAACCGCCTCAGACAGCATCAGCCGCATGGCCGTCCCCACCTGCCTGCTCCAGATGAAGGTACGTCCCTTGTCATCTCACTGGAAGGAAAGGAGGGGCGGCGGAGACTTGACACCCCTGTGGGCCATTGAAAATACCCGTCTCCAAAGTTTTGGGGGTGTCTGACCCCATAAATAAACTTCAGTTCCCCAAATACCGTGTTTATTTGAAAACTATATGTATACTACTGTATTAACATATTCTAGACATAATACACTGAGAGTAGAAATTTTAAAATATGAGACAACAAATTTTAAAAATAACCTGCTGGTGCCGAAAGGTTACCTCACACTTCCGGGAACGTTTAGCTTTCAGAGCGTGCGTCCAGGTTTCAGGCTGCCTCCTTGCTGTTCGGTGCGTGCAGCCCGCGTGTCCAGGGTGACGTCATCGCTGCTGGCAGCTGGGGACGTGTCCCTTCTTCACTTTCTTGTCCTCACGCTCGTGCCTCATGGTGCTGTCTTCACGTCACAGTTCTCAGGAATCTTTTTAAGCACCGATCTGTTTTAAGGGTTTGTTTAGTTAAAACTAGTAATGGAATGCTGTGTTTACTTAGCCAGACACCCAGCGAGCAACACCTAGAGGAAAGGAGAGTAAGGCTGCCTCCAACAACACGGTTTTAAATGTTAGTAAAGCTTACTTTTTTTTTTAATTCCTCACCTGAGGATATTTTTCTACTTATCAGAGAGAAGAGTGAGAGGGAGGGAGGGAGGGAGGGAGAGAGACACATCGACTGGTTGCCTCCCTCACAACCCGACCAGGGCCAGGGATGAACTGCAACCAAGGTACGTGCCTCTGACCGGCATCGAACCCAGGACTCATTGGTCCGCAGGCTGACGCTCTAACCGCTGAGCCAAACCTGTCAGGGCAAGCTTACTTTTTAAAAAGATACAAATAAATACCAGTAGAGGTTGTAATACAGGGTGGTTAAAGGTAGGTTCACAGTTGTTCGCATGGGAAAGAACATGAGGTGGTGACTCACCATCGCTGCGTTAACTCTGCACTTGGGCACAGTCTCGTCAGTGCTCACATCACTGTCCTGCGTGGTGGACACGTTCTCGTAGTCTACTTGCTGTATTCGAGCACGGCTGGGCCCAGAGTGCTCTATAAATGCACGTCTGCCCACTCCTGTATTTTTCCTGCTTCCCACTGGATTCTCACGGACCCCTAGAGCGCATTGTGTGAATTAGTATGGACACGCGTGACGTGTTCTCACGCGAAGGCTGAGTCAGCTGAGTGAGCCTTGGCTCCCTGATGCCTGTCTGAGCACTCGCTGCACGTGGAAACCGACAGCCAGCCCCTGAGCCTTGCCCTCCCCTCTCCCCGCTGCCGACTGCAGGCCGGGACTGTGTAGCTCTGAGCACAGAGCCTCTCGGAGGGTCACCTGGACAGGTGGGCTCACGGGTCCAGGGCTGTAGGAGCTGAGGAGGCTTTGACTTTGGGGCCATGTTCTCTTTTCAGATCCAGGAAGATCCCAGTCTCTGCAGGGACAAACCCTTCGTCTCAGCTGTCACCATGGAGCTGAGTAAGGAAACGCTGGACACGATGTTAGATGGGCTGGGCCGCATCCGAGACCAGCTTTCTGCCGTGGCCAGCAAGTGACCCCGGCCAGCTGCCAGCCCCACCGCCAGGCCCAGCTGCTGTCAGCCACGGAATGCCTGCCCACACCAGGCGGGCTGCCTGGTCACAGCAGCTGCAGCCGACAGCAGGCGAGATGGGGGACGGACAGGGTCTGCCATCCAGCGGGTGCAGTTGGATTGGGAGGAAGCAGCCACGCCCCCAGGCTGTTCTCCGGAGCTGGTGAGCAGAAGCCTTCACCTTTGCGGCTCCTGCATGCGACTGTTACGGCTGTGGCGGTGTAAGGGTGCTTGTTGGAAAATTCCGGCCCCGCATTGGGGAGCTTGTCTAACCAGTGGTTTCCAGCATTGGCTCTGATGAGTTCATGCCCAGCCCGGGACACACGGAGGGAATTGGGTGGGTGATGCCAGCAGCTCCTGCTTCCTGTCCGAGAAGCCAGCAGATCCGCAGCGCAGGTCACCGCAGTGGGGCCACCTGCCCCGAGTCCAGAGCCTTCCCCAGCTCCCTGGGCACAGGAGGCCTGAAGCGGGCGCAGATTCCCGGCACGGAGCGGGCCCTTCCTTGGCAGAGTGCAGCCACTGCAGGGCGATGGAGTGGGAGGGACGGAATAAACAGCTCTGCAGACTTCGTGGTCGGGGCCGCCTCTCGTCGCTTCGTCCTGAGCCCGGGTTTGTTGCTTGAGCTAGTGCTGCCTCCTGTGTAAGGGTGACCCCAGCTTCCTGATCCCGGCTAAGCCCATGGCCACCGTGTGACCTGAAGCCGCGTGTGGCCCTCACCACCTTCCAGGGGCCTGTCTGCCCTGGAGAGCGACAGCGAGGTGGACAGTGTGCTTGTCACGAGGGGTGACGAGAGCATTCCTTAGAGTCTCGCCGACGAGATCATCTCTGCCTGACCGTCCTGGGGCTCTGTGTGAGGCCCTCCGCCCACCCACTCATCGCTCCGGAGCAGCAGACTGCTGTCTGAGCTGCGCTGTGGCTTCTTGGGTGGTGTGGGTGGGGGAGGGCGGATGGAGCAGAAGTCCCGGTTAGGAGGACGGACAGCCTGCTGTGTGGCTCAGTGGTTGAGCACTGACCCTGCACCAAGTGGTCACTGGTTTGATTCCTGGTCAGGGCACATACCCAGATGGGCCCGACCCCCAGTGGGAGGCATGCAGGAGGCGGCCAGTCAATGTTCTTTCTCATCAATATTTCCATCTCTACCTCTCCCTTCCTCTCTCTAAAATCAAAAGAGAAAAAAAATTTTTTTAAAGTTGTTTCTTTAAAAGAAAAAAAAAGAGGAAGCAGCCAGGCTGCGGGGCCAGAAGCCAGCTCCACTTCTCGGTGGGAAGGGCTTGACCTCTAAGCCTCAGCTCCCCATCTCCCTGTGTTTTAGAATTAAATGGGGATATGTACCTACTCTGTGTATTACCTACTCTGTGGGGCTTTTGTGAAGATGAAATGCCGTAACGACCTGACAGCGTCAGCACTGCGTGCCTAGTGGGAAGGGCCCGTGGTCTTGGCTTTGGTGACGAAGGGGCAGGAGAGGAGGAGGCTCTCTGCAGTCACTGCTCCATCTGTGACCATGTTCTCACCCTCCTCTGTCGATGCGGAAATCGGCTCGTGGAGGCCAAGTCACGTGCTGGTGAATGGCCTCATTAGACGGCCCAGGTTGCTCTAGCTTCACCACACAGGGCTGCGAGGGGCGTGGCGCTCGGTGACTTGAGCTCCATTTGGAAAATGCGGGAACTGAAGTACAGATGGGGGTCTGAAATCTGCCCACCTGCTGAGGCACCGGGAAAGTCAAGAAAGAAATCCGAGGCTCCCCTTTGCTGGCTCCTGGGAGCTGAGCTCCCTCTGTTAAAAAGGCAGCGGAGCATCTGACTGAAGTCAGCTCAGAGAGGCCCGGGCCGGGTTAGAAATCAAATCTGTGTCTTTACGCTCAAAAGCTCTTGGTTTCTCCATTCCCGTCTCCGTTTGGGGGAAAGAGTGTTTGCAGTTCTTCACGACCACAGCTGTCCCCTAATCCAGTGGCTCTCGGCTCCCTCGTCAGCCTGCCTTACCCTTCTGCCTGGGTCACCTCTGTCCTCCTTTGCCTCCCTTCTCTGGTGATTTTCAGGGCGGAAGACACCGACGTAAGACCAGATGTGGGGCTTCCCCACACCAGCCAGTTTTCTGAGCACAAGTGGGCACCGTGTCGGAAGTCGTCAGGCAGGCTCTGGTCTGGTATTTACAGACCTCCAAGAAGGGAGTCCAGTTGGTGTGCCAGGCTGTCCGTTATGTGTTCAGTAAGCTGAGATGCTATCAGAAATGAGAGCGTTTTTGTTACTCTTAATATATTTTTTTCACTCTAGAAATCATTGGCTACTTGGCACTTTGAAAGTTTTCCAGTGGTTGAACATTTACAAGAAGTATTTGAACCTGTAACCGCTGACTTCCAAACACTGATAATCCCTCAACATTCTCTTACTGGGGACATTGACCTTTGTACAACTTCCTTCTCTGGTGCCCACATTTCTGTGGTTTAATTGTCCTTTTCACAACTACTTTGAGACAGAAAGAAAAGGTTTCCTAGTAGCAGTCCCTGATCAGTGGTGCCAGGGGACCCTAATCTCCAGGAGAGGGACCATTCTTCCTTTGAGAAATGTCGAGAGCTTGTCAAGGGAAGTCTGAGCAGCTGGGTTTCTGTTAGCCCTGAGCTCTTGGGAAAGACTGGAATGAGTTTTTAATGCCTTGTCTGCGTGGAGAAGATGTCTACATAGGTAGTGCACGCCATCGGCGGACAGGCAGCAGGAGGCAGATTCCCACTGAGGAGTGGACGTTCTTGGCCACTGGTGTAAATGTTGCAGTACATACGCCTTGGACACAATACCGCGCAGTGAGTACACTACACCCCAAGAAGCTGAACGATACATGAACTGAGATCTGTGGGATATCACAGGGACCTGGCGGTGCAGTTCCGAACACACTCGATCTGCAGGTCGGAATGCCTCCGGGTAGGACTTCAGGGCTGAGAAAGCTCCCACTCCAGCTATTCCTTCGGTTCATTCAGCTTCTGGGAGTGAGCATCACTGGGATATTGATTTGACCACTTTAACAAAAAACAATGTCCATGGATTGAAGAATTTCGTTTCCCTCTCATGTAAAAGTCTGGGCTGGTAGAAGGTGTGAGGAGTTCGGATGGTTCTTCTCCAGGAGATGGTCCATTGGGATCCCTCCCTCTGGTTGCTTCACCAACCACCAGGTGTTGCCTTCATCCCTGTGAGCAAGGTCTGCCCATCACTACACTCCTAGTCTGTGCCCCGGCCCACGGGGAAGGAGGAAGAGAAGGGTGTACCCCAGAAGCCTCCATGTTTCCACTCACATTCGTCACAATCACATGGCCAGTATTTAGCTGCAAGGTGGGTTGGGAAATACACGGTGTGCGGGGCAGTCACGTGTCTGGCCACACTCGGAGGGCGGGGACGTGAGGCGCATCACAAAAACAGACGCACACGCGTGGGCAGTGAGAGGAAATGGACAGGGCTTAGGTAACCAGTTGCGTTCCTGAGGTGCGGTTTCAGGGAGCAGGACAGAAAGGCTGCCTGGTGTGGGTGTGCAGCGGTGGGTGCCTCCTGAGGCTGAAGACCAGGTCCCCTTAACTTGGCGTCCACAGTAGCCAGCGCAGCACCTGGCACACGTCTGGTCCCTACCTCCCACAGATGCACGCGGGGTTTGGCCTGTCCTGGTAAGTGATGGGTGAATTATATTGAACTGACTCGGATGGCAGCCTGATGGGATTAACCTTGACTTGTTCCTTAATCTACCTCAGCAGCGCCTCCTTTTTTGTGTTTTTATCCTCACCCGAGGACATTTTTGCATTCATCTTCAGATAGATGGAGGGAGAGAGGGAGGAAGAGAGAGAGAGAAGCAACCATGTGAGAGACACACAGAGTGGCTGCCACCCACACGACCCCAACCGGGGGCTGGGGACAAGCTGCAACCAAGGTACGTGCCCTTCGTGGGAACCGAATCCGCTGGCCCACGCTCCAACAGCTGAGCCAAACCGGCCAGGGCCAGCAGTGCCTCCTTTTACCCAAAACATTTTCATTCAAACACCTGCAGAGGGTGCTGGCTGGGCAGCTCAGTCGGTTGAGGGTTTGATTCTCCTTTGGGGCACACACCTGGGTTTCAAATTCAGTTCCCAGTCACGGTGCATATGAGAGGCAACCGATCGATGTTTCTCTCTCCCTGCCCCCTTCTCTCTCTGAAATCAATAAACATACCCTTGGGTGAGGATTAAAACAAAAACACCTGCAGAGGGATCCGGGGCGGCTGGGCCTGAATGCACCAGCCGGGACAGTGCGCGCCTCTCGCCAGCATGCTCCCTGGCCCTGACCCACCCAGGCCTGGGCCCGGGGCTGGCTGCTCCCGACCCCGCTAGGTTCACCTGCGGAGGAGAGCTGGGCGGGGGGACGAGGACGTCCCGGGCAGGAGGGACAGACGCGCACGTGCTGAGCGCCGCCCCGGCAGAGACCGGCGTGTCCAGGGCCAGCGGAAGGCAGCGCACACTCCTCCCGGCGCCCTCTCCAAATGTCTCCCCTTCACCCTGTTAGCTGCTGGTCACGCTTCTGGGTTCGGGAGCAGCACCCGGAACTTGATCGCGGTCCCGCCCGAACCATCCGGTGTCACCACACAGCGTGCCAGCCGCTGTGTACCCGCCGAGTGCAGGTGACAGGAGCCCTCTGGCACTGTGTCCTGCCACGGCTGAGAGGGGTTCTGTGCCCAGGGCTCCTCCTATGGAAGAGGTCCCTCGTCGGGTCCCCTGTGGTGACCCAGGATTCTTCCTCTGCCCGAAAGCACGCGGGCAGGGAAGCGGCCGCCCGCGCGCCGGCACCGCTGGAGCGTGCCCGGTGCCCAGCAGGTGGCGCAGCCGCTCCTACCGCCGCCCCTGGCCTAACCTGGGAACAAAGACCCGGAGCGGGACTGGGGTCGTGGGCAGGCTCCTCCCGGATCCCGGCCCGAGAGGCCTCCTGGAAGAGAAGCCCCCAGGTCCAACCCCTACCTCTGCAGAAGTCTCCCCCCAGGCCCAGAGCAACACAAAGAGCGGAGGAGAGAACCGACCGAGGCAGGCGGGCCCACTGACGAGCCCATTCGGGCTTGTTCCCAGGGCTCAGCCCTGGAAGCCACGGCCTCCTCGTCGCTTCTGTCCCCACGACGGGTGCCAGCAGCCCCGCCGCCGCGGCCGCGACGGACTCTTCCAGGTCAGGTCTTCTGAGCGCGTCGCTGACGCTCACAGGCTAACCCGTGTCTGCGCTTGCACCAGCTCTCTCCGTTTTGAAACAGGGTAATACAGGATTAAAGTATTTGTGACTTGTCGCCCTGATGGTCGAAGTTCAAAACCAGCACACCGTTCTGTGTCCTCACCAGACTCCCCTTCCTCCCCTCCTCCGGGCGAGACCGCACCTCGAAGGCACAGTGAGCAAAACAGTCCCCGCGTCCAGCCCTTGCACTCGGACTAGCTTCTACCCGCTCGCAGATTGAACAGACATAACAAGGATACTGTAAAATCCTCGTCGTGTCCAATTTATTATTTTTAAAAAGTGACTTTCTTGATATTTAGGTTTTTATCGTAATTATAGTATTACAAAAATTTCAACCATGACGGATAGTGAAGGTGAAGAACTTCTCAATGAATTATATGCAGATACTTTATCTCATTGTCTGACTGATTTTGAAATATATTGTAGTGATGTAGAAATTGATAGTTTATTGGAAGAAAGTAATGAGTCGGATATTAGACCACCAAAATGGCAAAAAAGCCCTGGTCGGTTTGGCTCAGCGGTTAGAGCGTCAGCCTGCGGTCCAGAGAGACCGGGGTTCGGTTCCTGC